GCAGCTCCAGATGACACAGCCTCCTCCGGGTGGGGGACTCTTGGCCCCAGGGGGTTCTGGGGGCCTGCAGCAGCAGAAGCGGATGAGGTAGACAGCGATGAAGATGAGGCTCAGGCCCAGACCCAGCCCAGCCAAGGCTGCCACCAGCAGCAGGGCCTGAGGAAGAGGTGAGGAGAAGCCTCAGAGGTCACTTTCATGTCCCAGACAAGAAGTTCCTCCTCAGCTGCCTGTGGGGAGGGAGCCAAGGCCAGCCCCTGATGGGACTCAGGTTGTGGGGGGAAAAAATGAGATACATGTTCTCATTCATATTGGCAGCTGAGGCCAGTCCTGGGTTTAGGGATAGATGGCTGGAGGCAGCATCCAAGTAGGGGGCCCAGGTTTTGGGTCCCTGTCAGGTCTTCCTAGGTTTTATGGCCTCAAAAGGCCCCTCCTCTCCCTGAGCCTCCGTTTCCTCCTCCTCGGGTGCAACCAGGCACTTGGAATGCAGCATTCCTGAGGTTCCCTCAGAACTGTATGGCATGCAGAGGCAGGAAGGCTCCCGTTTCTGTGCTCCAGGAGAGCAAGAGAGGCAGCAGCCTTCTGTACACCATCTCCCTCCTGCTGCTGAGCTCATACACCCACTGCAGTTGAGTCTGTCACCCCAGGGCTGGGGATGGGGACAGGGTGCGGCAAGGTGTGTGTGTGTGTGTGTGTGTGTGTGTGTGTGTGTGTGTGTGTGTGTGTGATGCATACACACAAGGCTCAGAGATGGAGAGCTAGGGAAGAAAGACACATCAAGCAACAGAGAGGAAGACACAGAAAGAGACAGGCAAGGAGAGAGAGGAAGGCAAGAAGAAGGAGGGACATAGAGATAAGACACACGAAACACCAGAGGAATCAAGCCAAGAGATGGGGGAGAAAGAGAGACAAAGAGAGAGAAATGAAGAGACACACAGAGAGAAACTACAAAGACAGAGAAAGAACTACAGGAAAAGGAAGACTGACAGGGTAGTGTGTAGTGAAATCCAGAGATGCAGGGAAGGAACGGTAGACAGAAAGGCTGCTAAGTGCTGCCTGGCATGGCAGCACAGCCCTGTAGCCCCAGCACCCTGGGGGCCGAGGCAAGAAGATTGCCACAGCTTCAGGCCAGTCCAATTTACATAAACTCCAGCCAGCCCGGACTACAGAGTGAGTCCGTGTCTCAAACAAATTATAGGCTTGTAGGCTCTGCATGCGATAGGGTCTTTCAGGAGACCTGTGTCACGCGTCTTCTCTGAGGCCCAGAGCTGGAACAGGGTTTGCCTGAAGCCAGCAGGGTAAGGGCAGTATGAGGTGTAGAATCACTGCCCTGCACTGCCAAGGACTGCTGTCTCTAAACCATAGCCTATCTGCAGTCCTCTGCATCACCTGTGTGAGTGACAAGTGCGTGCCGCGGTGTTTATGTGGCTGTGAATTTGCCTTCCACCAGACGAGGGCATATGGAGTGTGAGTATAGGGTGTTGGTGTATATCATGCTGCCTTTCTGCGGGCAAGAGAATACTTGTGGGCTTCTTCAGCTGGTGAGTGGTGTTGAGTGGACAATGTGACTTGTGGTGAGTGTGTGAGTGTGTGTGTGTGTGTGTGTGTGTGTGTATGTGTGTGTCTGTGTGTGTGATGGTGTACACATGAGCGTGCCGTATATATGTTACTGGACAGGTGATCTTGAAGATCCCTCGTAGGGTGTCTTGCTGTGCTCGTGGTGGTCATTTCCATGAAGAAGAATGTCCCCAGGGATGGGACTGTGTGTGCCTGCTCTGACTG